TAGGATACATAAACAGGATGCATTCAAGATATTTAGTGGTGTTAAGTGAAGGATGTGGATATACATTGAACAGTTTCCAGGCCTTCAGCGCGACATGGGGCCCCCTAACAGTGTAGCTGACACTGTAGACTTTAAGTAGACTGTAAAAAAAAGAGACTAATGGCAAGAACATCCCTGAACGACCGACACTGGCTACAACGAAGAGCTAGCAAAGCAGCACAAAAGAGGAATCCTATTATTATTTCATCAGTTTCACACATTACATACACATTTTCAGTTCACAACACTCATTAAATACATTTCCCTACATTGAAAAAAGAAAAAAAAAAGTAGACTGTAGCAGGCAGATGCATGGCACTTATAAGAAGTTCAAATCAATTGATGCTTTTCCATTGTTTTGGTTTCAATACAAATTTAAACATGTTTGGCAGTATATTTGTCTTATTTCTAGTCAAAATTATCTCATTACACTTAAAATAAGACACAATCAGCTACAGGGCAACATTTCAGTAAGCTAAAGGAACTTGTTTCAAGACAGTGAATTTTGAAACTAGAGAAAAACTAGAGATTTTTCACTTGTTCCACTGGCAGATTTTTTCACTTAATACAAGATATTTTAGCTTAAAATAAGTGAAAAAATCTGCCAGTGGAACAAGTGAAAAATCTCTAGTTTTTCTCTAGTTTCAAGATTCACTGTCTTGAAACAAGTTCCTTTAGCTTACTGAAATGTTACCCTGTAGCTGATTGTGTCTTATTTTAAGTGTAATGAGATAATTTTGACTAGAAATAAGACAAATATACTTGGTAAGATTTTGAGTTTTTGCAGTGCACAACCAAACCTACATCCATTTTGGACGTAGTAGTAAGTAGTAGCTGGAACCTAGCCCAGCTGTCATAGATTGCCAGTCTATCACAGGGCTAACATAGACACAGGATGCCATCCACACCTATGACCAACTTAGAAATGCCAGTTAAGCTAACATGTATGTTTCTGACTGTGGGGGAACCTGGAGAACATGCGGACTCCACCCCGTCACATATTCAGAGCCTGGTGTTCATATGTTGACAGGGACTGGAAAAATTAATCTTACGAAACAATCTTTTCAAGCAACTGAACCAAAACCTCCAAGTAAGCACATTTTTTTGCTGTTTGTGCTGTCTGGAGCTCATAAACTCGCTGATGTATCACACAGATACACAAACACCTACACACAAGACTCTTATTACATTCAGAGCTGGAAGTGACCCACAGCGCTCGCCTTGTTCTGTCAGTCACTGTGAGGTCGGCTTTCCCTGCCAAACAGCAGCTTGCACATCACTTTCCCTGCAACCCTCCTGGTATCAGCAGACTGAAGCCAGTGGCCAGCAACTTCCTGACGCTGACGCTGTTGGTGTTCCATATCGCTCTGACTCATTAGAACCGTGCAGATTTCCCATGACATTTGTGTAACAGCTGAGCTGAGTGTCTTCTAAGTCCGGTTTACTGTGCTTTTAGGCAGTAAATGATTCTGAAATGAAATAATATTGGGTTTACGTGTACACACTCCACACAATGGCTCACGGTGGCAGTTGTATAAATGTTTTGGTTCATGATTTTGCTTGAACAGATTGTTATTCAGGATGTCAACTTCAAGTTCAGTTGGAGGGGGGCACCTAATTACGCACAGAGATTATCTTTCTCATTTTTAATGTCTTTAAACAAAAAAAAAACATCATTAAGTGACACCTTGCTGTAAAGAAAACAAGAGCGACTGCATGCTTCATACCTACAACTTGATGGCAACACCGCACCCCCTGCTGAGTACACATGAATGTCTGCCAATAATAACACATGAGGGTGCCAAAAAAAACAAAACAAAATAAAAATCACATGCACTTTATGTACCACCCTGTTTTCACTCCAGATTGAACTGGACCACCCTGGTGCTTAAGTCTACTAAGACTTCAAGTGTTCCCCATCAAATCATTGCAGGTACTCTGTAATAAGACGGCTTCCATTTCCCTTTGGGGAGCGATGTCTTTTTTATGACATGGAAACTAAACGCGTTACATCGTTGGAAAAGCCGTTTCGCGAATCTGGGTGGAAGAAAGGGGGAAATACCGCCAAATGAGAGTTTGTTTAGTTAGCATGTCAAAATTCCTTCCACTTCCTGAAATGAAAATAGCCACGTCTGTAAAAGTTCATTTGAACCACAACGTTGATAATGAAGCATTAAAAAAAAAGATCTTTGTACACAAATACATAAACTGAAGAGAGTCACAGTGTGACAGAAAGAAAAAAGTAATTAAAACTGTTTTTAAAACAGGGTAAAGGTCTTTGGCAGAGGGAAATACATATGAAGATGGAAAATGTTGTAAATCGATCCATTAAAAAATAAAGTGCAGAAGCATATGGGGAGCTGGATGGAGCACAGGAAAAACTCTGAGTCGGTGTAGGTAGCAGATTTACAGGGTGGCATATAGTGGGACATATAAGTGAGTGAGTGCATCTAAATGCATGCATTTGCCTTTGTAGGCTGCCTTGATTCAACAACATGATTTTCCTGTGTTTTTCCTTACTTTCCCAATTTCAAAATGTCTTTCAAAAATACGAGAATAAAGTACCTTTATTGTACCACTTATACGCTAAAGGGCACAAATGCTTTCCACTGGGACACTACTCTCTGTTCCAGTTATATAATACTAAGGCAAGTTCCTTATCCAGCAGGGTAATTGCTGGGAGTATGTTACATTTTTTTCCTTATGTTATTATTATTAGTAGTAGTAAGCTGCTAATATATTAATATTATACTGTAATATTATAGATAAGGCTTCCCAGCAGTATATAATTACCAGCTATCAAGAGATTTTGTGTCAGCCAAATGTTATTACCACAGTTGCACAAAGAGGTAATAAATGAATGAACTGACTATATCAGTATACATACAGAAGTGATGATATTTTACATGATGTACAGATAACTGCAGATAAGAAAAGTGTGCCTTAAATCTTTCCACGCCCCTGGGATGGCTTTGGCACCAAATGTTTTGAAAGAACCACCCAGAAGAAAGGGGAAACACCTCCACCGAGACAGTCTGTTTAATTAGAACAATAAAATCATTTTACTTCCTGAAATAAAATAAAAAAAACACATGACTTTGTACAATTGATGGTTCGTTTGAGTTACCGCTGATTGTAAGACAACATAAAAAGACTCAATCAACACTAATTCAGCACAAATACAGGACAAAAATAAATAACAGACCCAAGACTCTGCTATAACTTCATAGTGATGCTACTAGAATACAATGTATTTATGATATTCTTTAATTTTCATGCAACAGTCTCCATTAGGTCCGGGTATTTTGTAGCCACAGGGCAATGTCGTTACATTGTCACCGATTGGCAATGTTAAAAATGACAACTAAAATGCCATTTGCCCTCTCCATTATTGATAGATTTTGGGGGTTCAGGCCTGCCTAAAAATGTGAATTGAGCCCTCTGAGCTGATACACTTCTGCAACCATTATTTAAATCAAGTCAGAAAGTTCGGTAACGAAAAAGTAAACACCCATGATGCCATAAAGCCGCAATGTAAGTTATTGCAGCACAAGCTGAAGTTAATCATTTGGCTAGCTGTAGTTTAGCGCTTCTGCAGCAATAGCAGTAACCAGCAGTAATGGAGAAGGGCACTGACGTTGGAACACATGGCTCTGTGGAGGTTACAGTTTGGAAAGTACCTTGTATGTCTTTTTGGAGCTAAAAAGAGGTCATTTATCTGGTTGTGCAACTACTCTATATGGACACATGTACTGGGCCACACCTCTTTTGAATTCAGATGCGCTCAGTCCCATTGCCACAGGTGTATAAAGCAATTCTGACTGCTTTTACGACATTTGTGCAAGAACAGGTCATTGCAAAGATTTACTGAATTTTGTGTGATCAAGTATAAGTCATATCAGTGAAAAGTTACAACTGCAGTGGCGCATAGTGCAGAGTTGCATACCTCCTGTGGCATTAATGTTAGCACAATGTGCACCAAGAAATTCATGGTATTCATAGTTTTCCAAGGATAGGCAGTTCCTGAAAGTGTAATGTGTAGGTGGCCAAGAACTTTTGCTTTCTTGTGTGGCAAAAACTAAAACTAATTAAATTCATCTGACATTAAATATTTAAATATATATTATGTATTTAAAGGAGAACGGATGGTATTTCAGATGAGATACGTGCTCTTTCCTGAGTATGAGAAGACAGGTGTGCCTGAAAGTTTTGGCTCACCTTCTGAAGTACCTTTAGTACAAAATGCTTTAAAAGAACCATCCACAAGAAGTGGAAAACATCTGCAAAGAGTATGTTTGTTTAGATAGCATAATAAAATCCTTCCTGCTTCCTCAAATGAAAAGAAAGGGTGACGTCTGTAAATCACAAGTTAATTGATATGATTGCTAGTTATAATACAACATTAAAAAAGACAGGACACACTGGAGAGATTATGTCTTATGTCTATGATGTATTGACAAAAGCAAGATGTTGTGGGTGCATGTGCCACCCCACTGAAAGAATCCTGGAAACGTCCCTGTTTCAGACCTCCTTTTCCTTTCCTTCACCAATGGCACGAAGAAGGTGGGAAGATTTGGTAGTTCTTACAGATAACACTGTTTTCTGCTGCAGGTACATTCACTGACATATGGTTTTAAGTTACTTCTGTGTTCCCAGCTATATCACAGCAAACAATAGCCTAGAGGTGGTCAAAAAATATTAGCTACTACACCTTAGAGAGCCTCTCTTTGAAACTTCTTGACACCCCGCAAAAGGTTATGCAATATTTTAAAGTAATTTTGTCTTATTTGGTGTGCACAGTCTATAAGGATTACCCTGCTTGCTCGCTCACTCACTCTGTTTTATAATCTGCTGATGATGACGTTATGCTGCAGTTCCTGGGCTTCAGTTCTCGCGAGGTTACGGGAATCCAGACGCTCTCTCTCTCTCTCTCTCTCTCTCTCTCAGTTCCCCCTCCTCCCCAGCCCTCCCTTCCCACGCCCCACTGCGCTGTGGGATAGTGGCACTATAAAGTATATCCTCTCTCGGCGAAAGATAAGAAGCCCGAGACAGGAGGGGGATGAAGATGGCGGACGCCAAGCAGAAGCGGAATGAACAGTTAAAGCGATGGCTTGGCTCGGAAACGGACCAGGAGCCTCCTGTTTTGAAAAAGAAAAAGACGAAGGTGAAGTTCGATGATGGCGCCGTGTTTCTGGCCGCCTGTTCGAGCGGCGATACCGAGGAGGTGCTCCGAATGCTTGACCGGGGCGCTGACATCAACTACGCCAATGTAGACGGTCTCACCGCCCTCCACCAGGTTTGTGTTAGCTTGCCGTGTGGGTTTATGTCAGCAGCCGGTACCATTAGACATAAATATCGACTGGCTGCTAGCAAAAGCTTACCCTGGTACACCTGTCAAATGGAAGCCATTCTCATCCCGTTGTTTACCTACCTAGCATACTCGTCCTTCTCGACGCAGAGAAGGGATGAATCCGTTGGCTTCCTCCTGAGGCTGTTTAACTGGTAAACCGCGCTAACTATGCATACACTTGTCTGAGTATAAGTGGCAAGAAGCAGCAGAGTCAAACACCTAATTTACAGGGCTAATTCTACTTTATGCCTCCATAAACTAGCCTGAGTCTGTAGGTGCAGTCTAATTGCAGTACTGCTGCATTTTTCGATTTGAAACATTGGCTCGGTTTTATGTTGTAAATACAATCAAGCCAGACAAGTGTCTGTGTGGTCAATTTATTATTGTCGGATCCTATTTAGTGTGTTTGGAGCTTAATATAAATGGTGTTCGTGCAGAATGAACCCAGCAATAGATGGCTGCTACCTGGTTAGCAGTAAAAGTCGTTTTGTTGATAAACCCTCCTCCTTGACTGTGGCTACTCTCTGGAGAGGAAGCAGAAGCTACCTTGCTAACTAGCTTTAGATACAACGTCATTCAGATACAGGCTAATGTTACGATTGCGAAACAATGTTTGCTTGTCACTCTGACTTAAAAAATGCAGTCCCTCATTAATAGTGGGCATATTAGTTTAATTGCCAGGAAAGAATGAATGGTAACAGCGCAGTATTAGCCCAGCGGAGTGTCTGCTAACGTACTTTAGCATGCTAAGATAAATGTCGTTAGCTGTGTGGGGCTTTAGCTGAAGTTAATTCATTCATTAACTGACCTGAGAAACGGCGTCAGTGGTAAATTATGGGCCTCATAATTTTATGCTGTTTTGTGTATAGTTAATCGGAAACGCCTGTGTCGTTAGCGCTTTTGCTACACCGGGATGTTAACCGTGCCAAGCTAGTCATTTGCCCGCTAACTGGGGTAGCTACTTTCACTAGCATCTGTACTTCCACAGCCGATAAACTGAAAATGGCACCTCATCTTGATGGGTTTTAGGCTGTGTGAGGTAGTTTTAGTCCAAATGGGGTTTAAAGCCTGATTTAAAAGCTTTATAAACCACCATGGATCCAGTGATGGAAGTAGGTTGCTTGTTGGTGCAGTAAGCTTACTGAAAGTTGTGACCAGGTTAAGTCCAGTGAGGTGTGCAAAAGCTAGACTAGAATTAAAACGTAAATAACAAAGAACCTGGTCGTGTAATTTATGAATTTGTTTCTGTTGCTTCAGAGGTAGCTTTTACCATTAAAGAAGTACATTTATTTTAATATCGTTTTTCAGTTTGTGCTTATTGGATCAAGTGATTACGGGTATACTGTTAGCTTTTACAGTGACACTTTTATAAAGATATCTTGCTTATTTTGTACCAAGAACATTGTAGTTAAGTGTTTTACTTTTTGGTGGAAATAAGCAGGGTGAACGGTTTGGGGGATTTCCCCCTTCTGACTGCATGTTTCTGCCTCTGATAAATAATTTTTCATTCCCACTGGAAAATAAACTTTTATCCCCCCCTTCCAGGATTTTTGCAGTGTCTTGAAACAGTCAACAGTGCAAACATCAGTCCAATCAGAAACTGATCTCACTTTCAGTGCTTGTGAGGCTGCTGGGGTGAGATGATCAGGATCTGTTCCATTCCAGCTTTTCATTAAGCCAAACTGTAACGCTGGATATCTGGATCCAGAGAGTTGCAGAAAACATCAGAAATATTGTGTGCCAACCAGTTGGCTCTGTGTTGACATCAGAGTTCTCTCCAAAGGTGATTTATGCAGCTTCTTCTTTCTTCTTGTTGAGTTGCGGCTCTGCACCAGGACTGTTCTCTGCAACATCCTGCAGTCGTTTGTCGCCTTTTGCGTGATGGCGCAACTGCTGTGATAGGCTGATGGAGAGGGGCAGAAGTATTTGGTTTAAAAAGATCAACCTTAACCTGACCTTCGTTCACAAGTTAGAACATGCTGTCGAACATATTACAGAGTCAGATAATTTCCACATGTTTATTAACACTCAAACTGGAAAGTCTGCTGCTGATCTCAGAAAATGAAGTCTCCTTCTTCCCTTTACAGAGACTTTATAGATTCAGGTAAAAGAGGGTGATGTGTTTTACATGATGAGCCACAGGGAAGCAGAAAAACTGTCATCAAAGCAGACCATTTCTCTTTGATTTGTAATGTACCATAGTGGAGTTTTTATTTATCCAATTTATTTTTTTTTAATTGACAGCATTTTGTGCTGTTTACATTTCGGGTTATTTCATATTAAACATTGAAGCTAACATCCTCTGAAGAGGGAAACTGTGGTTGCCCCTCTATATTTTTTATTATTTTTTTATTTTTCTCTCCCTACGTATTGCATCCTGGAGTATTTTAATTTGAAGAAATAAAGGATAATGCTAGTGGAAACGAGCATTTGTTTATCTTGTTTTCACTAGCATGGATAGTGTTTACATGATGTAAGGATTTACAAAAATATTCACATTAAATGTTTTATACTTGCATAGATCTCCTGTGATGTCACTTCATTACTCATGTCCACATGTCTCGTCTTAGTAATTATGAGCACTGCTTTATGCACCACCTTGCTCCCATGGTGTGTTTGTTCTCCAAGACTTAGGCCACTGCACAGATTAAAAGTTTTAAAAGCAGGTTTTAAGGCATGGGTCATCAGCTTTATCTGTATGTGATTCATGCACGTTTTTGGGTTTTAGTTTTTTTTGTTGTTGTTTTTTTTTTTTTTTTTTTTTTTTTTTTTTTTTTTTTTTTTTTTACATTAATTAATCCTGCTGGTAAATTGACCTTTCTTCAAGATCGTAGTCTGCTTTAATGAAATCTGGAATTAGCATGAACCCCTCAATACAAACTCATTGGGTGGAAATGTTGCCTTTTTTTGGGCTGATGTCCAGAGATGAACTTGAGTGAGGAAAGAATTTGAAGTGCGGCTCTCCGGACATAACCATCTCTGGAGACGGTGTGTGTGTGTGTGTGTGTGTGTGTGTGTGTGTGTGTGTGTTAGTGTTAAAGGCCATGTGATCTCTAGGTTTGGTGTTTTACCAAGGAGCTGAGGAGGGGTGATGGAAGGTTAAACTGCTGTTAAGTTTCTTAAAGATGAGCTGAACAGTCAGTCGCCTCTTTTGTCTTAATGTCTTTGTGTGGCTTTTCTTGTTACATTTTAGATGGACCAAAAGAAAAAAATCCCTCCAGATAATAGCTATCCTCGTGAATGAGTGACCTCTCTCTTTGTTATGAAATGTGCCATGTTGCTGCATGAGGACTTGATCACTGGTGACCGGTGCAGGTTTATAAATACCACCACAGCCAACACAAGTTCTCCTAACTGGGTTTCAGTAGATGATACTAAGTTTGGGTATGACTCAGTCTGTAGCTTTGCTTTGTAGTTCAGCTCTAGTATAATCTCACATTTAGGCAAGAGGTTGTCTCTGTGAGTCATGAACCTTGTGTTTCTTTAAAAATGACCTGTTGCTGATGAACCTGTAAACACGTCAATGTCTTTTTGCAGACTTCTTAAGGTGATGCTTGAGCAGTGATGATGATGATCAATGATCTCACTATGACTGTGTACAAGCAAGAGCATCAAGGTGAAAAGTCACACTGTTGCCAGGCTCAGTCCAAAGGACTTTGAAGTTCAGTTGCAACACAAACATAAGGACCAACGTCACATATTTTCTTCTCACAAACCTCAAATATGCACATTTTGCAAGATTTAAAAATATTTACGCAACTCTTATTGCGATTACCATGCCGGACAAAGCGATATACCACCTCATGCAGATGTAAACAAATGGAGACTTTGTTGCAACAGCTTGCTGGGGTGTTGGCAATGCTTTGCACTGCAAAACAAAACAAAAATAAGAAGCTTGACTGAATCTGAGAAAATGGTTGGTGAGACAAGACCAGCATGGGTTGTTGTTCTTCAGTGAGAACTCGGTAGTATTTCTAACTACTAGTGTTCTAGATAATATTAGCCTTAAGGGCTAGAGTGTCAGTGATACTTGCTGTGGGACTTGAAGTGTATAGGCATTAACTTCATTTGAGGTTCATTCATTCATTCACTCTTCCTGAAGACACAATTGTAAATGTAAATATCAGACATGTTTGATATTATTTGGGTAAATCTTCTGAGTCTTTGAGCCATTCCAGAGATTTAAGACTGGTTCTTCAATTTATCACATTGTCAATATTTTTGTCCTGTTTCACCTCAAGGACCTTGGTGGGTACTGATATTTGGCACTCCTCTAGTCTATTAGAGAAACATTAGTGTTTCGATAGCTGATTTGAATTTGTAACGTGATTTACTGAGACAGATTGGTTCACCCAAAACACAGACTGCACGGATGCAGGTTGAGGGTAGAGAGGGGATGTTCCAGTGAACTAGGAATCCCTTAGACAAGCTGAGATTCCAGATCACATTGGCTAAATTCGTCCCAGAGCTGTCGCATTCCAAGTCCTGTCGTTCTAGCCCGTGCATTCCTCACATGACGGCCGCTGGAAACCATAGCAAAGAGGGAGCAGAGAAGACATTCCTCAGCTGTCACCTAAACCCCTCCCCTTCAGTCATTCCCTCTCTGGCTTGACTTTCCCTATACAATGCCAAAGCCCAGCTGACTGGTGCTCACTGAGCTCCACTGAAGCAATTAGAGTGGAGGGGCTTGTTGCTTCACACAACAAGATCTACCCGCTGACCTACACCTGAACTTTTTCTTTAGCGCTCAGGATCTCTGACACCCCCCCCCCCCCCCCCCCCCCCCCCCCCCCCTCCCCAGACCAAGGTGACAGGATTCAGCTTAGCTTAACATGTCAGAGCTGGACATTACAATGCCCATGCTCTGTTGACATTACACACCCTCATTATTGCCCTAAAGTCTATGAACATTATCTTGCCTCGTCTCCATGACGACTCGAGGGTTG